ACACGGTGAATTAATGCATGACTGAGTACTATGGGTTGCTGTGTATTTGATGTTATACAACGGATTTTTACAACAAAAAACTGAAATCTTCCCAAAGATTTAAATATATGAAGTATTTTCTGTTTGAAAACAATTTTACTCAGTTAATTTTATAAACTCTAAAAAAAAAAAAAATAATGAACATTTATCGAAAAAAAAAAAAACTAAAAATGAAAAATGTATTTACATCAAATGTGACGGCTCCTTATAGTTATACATATATGTAATATGTGTTTATAATTGACAATGCTGTTGTTCATCTAACATTTTATCATGAACGGCTTGCCTTATTTCCTCCTGCCATATGCATTGTAACCACATTATGTATGCTGTAATTCATTAAAAGTATAGTAGTAAAAAGAAATGTAACATTTACTGAAGTTTAGTATTATAAATGAAAACACTTAATTAGTATTCACTTTTAATTGTAAAAAGTACAGCGTAAACAATAAGCTTGAACTTTATTGGTTCTTTAAATGCAAAAAATTAAATTAAATAGTATTACCTTTCCTAAATGAGAAAAAAATGCTTAACTTTGCATGCTAGACGATTGGAGTTAGCTAATTTTACCTTCGCGCTTAATATTTCCTAGCATCCGTTGCTGACATATCCCTATAATTGCTCTACAAATTCCGCTACAAAACAAATGGAACGTTTAATGAAAACTCCATAATGAACCCTGTTTTAGTGACTCGCAACAGTAAAATGTTCATTACTTATAGTAAAAGTTACTTCAAAGCAACAATCCCCAATAAATTCATAGAAGGAATCATTTTTAAATCAGGGAATGGTAATACATGTATTTTGATTTGGACAAATCATGTGTAGAAAACAGATAAATGAACCGATTTGGATATCATTTATTTCTTTATAAATTGTCTGATGATTATTTTACATTTTTTTTGCAGAAACAATCTGCAATTTCAAAATTGCGTACTACGAGGGTTGTTCGAAAAGTTCGTGGACGATGTCAATCTTCGTTATATTACTCACTGGAAATTTAAACTACGCATTATATGATATGTAAGAATAATTGTTTTGTTGATTTTATAGAAATCAATTAACTTCATTTTAAAATCAACATGATTTGTACCCGCGGAGCACACTTAGCGGCAATGTAATGTCAAAACATAGCGTCAAGAATTTATTTAAAAAAATACTATCAGTATACATTTCACACAGAATAATCCAATACCCACTCATTGAATCCTTGTTCTAATACTTGACATTTATTTTTTTAAAAATGGCTCTCGTTGTATAATTTCCTTTGTTAAGGTTGTAATTCGTTTTATTACTTAGAGTTATACTTAACTCTGCTTTCACAGGATACGCAACTCTCAAGCGCCGTGTCTTTCCTTGACGTTCCAAAAAAGTTTTTGTTAAGATTTTTACAGTTATATCACAGATTGGTCGAATCCGATGCAGAGTCTCTGTCACTCAAATACTGCCCGTACTACCTGTACACACATGCATAACTCCCTTTTGACATATTTTCTTGATTTCTCCAACATTTTTAGAGTTTATTCAGGGATTTTCCTAAGTGTAACACAAAGTTGCATCAAAAATGCTGCTCCGTGACGTTCTATAGGGACTACTTATCTTCTCAAGTTGATTTCTTTTCAACAAAGCAAAATATAAAGCCATTATTTGGTTAACGAATCTTTGTTACAGTAACAATTCTTAATTTGAATTTCTAGGTTGTTTTTCGTTTTGAATAAATCATATTATTTTGGAAAAAATGAATACAAATCGTTTGGATTTATTGTAAAAATATTTCTACCAAATTTGGATAACTTATGACGTCAAATATAAAAGATTTGACAGTTGTCCACGAACTTTTCGAACCACCCACGTAATTAAGAAAAAAAGATGTTAATTAACTGGTGGTCATTTATTAAAGTTTTCCCTTTTTGTCAGGAAGATATGTAAGTACTTTATACTGAAATGTGTTATATTTATCGTGTATTCTTTTTTTTTTTTTTTTTTTTTTTTTTATTATTATTGATTATTTAACAAGTTAACGAAGATTTGACTTCGCATTATATTTATATTTATAATTTCATTAGCGTGGAATTTTAATTCATCAATAGATTTTAAAGAAATACACAGCTAAATATAATAGTTTACAGTATTCCATTTAATTTTTTTTTAAATCTAAGACCGAAAAATGAGAACATATTATATTCAACAATTCAATTTTTAATAATAAAGGATTTTTAACTTGCTTATTACTATAAGTAACAAATACAAGCACATGATGTAAAGTTTGTTATTTTCAAAATAATTTCAATAGTTAAACCAAGGTGAACTTCTAACTAAGTGTTCTCAATTTATCGTCTTGGTAACATCAAATTTGAGTGGAAATCAACTTTTTTTTAAAAAAGGAAATGGGACGCAAGATTCAATCTTTATATGCACTAGGAGCAGATGGACATTAACAGGGGCTAGGGTTTACCTGTACATTTAAAAGTAATCCTTTCCTTAGCAAATACAAGAGATGATTTTAAAAGTGAAGATAACAGATAGGAAGAACATATCAATTTTTTTTTCATCTTCCAATACGTACCTTGTACACATAATAAACTCAATTGAATCAGTTATACTAATGTCAACTACCTTTATTCATGTACATGTAGTAGTTAAGATTTATACCATGAATATTTGTACATAATTTGTGTTAAACACTCATTTGATCTGATATGTAGGAGTATGCTTTACATATGAACGATATATTTATTGAGACAAACCAATGAAAATTAAGTTGATGCAACAAGGTTATCAATAGTGAATGACAGTTAAAAATGATTGCGAAACATATAAAATGAGAAGGAAATAAATATTATCAAGGACAGGCTTCTTTGATGATTGCTTTCTCCAATCTAGAAAAAGTATAATCTAAATTTAGTTAAATGTCCTTTTTGGGTAATAGAATGTAATGTATCTAGAAAGTGGTACAGCTGAATATATATTGCAAAATTAAATGGTATATATTTGTTTTTTCTCTACTTTACGAAACGTACATAGATTAGGTTGTCTGTCTGTAGCACTTTCGTTTTTACGCGATAAATGTATTTCAAAAAGCTATTTGCAATAAAAATTTTCATAACAAATATTCCAATAGTGAAAAAAAACGCCTCTCAATTTTCAATAGGTCAAAAATCATTAATTAAATTTTTTTGTCTGTTTAGACACTTCCGCTCCCGTACTTTATCTCAAGAATCCTTTGAGCTTTCATACTGACATTTAATACTACAACTTCCTGTGACTTAAGGACCACCTCCTTATATTTTAAGTTCAAACACGTAAAGGTCAAGATCATAAATTCATATATTTTGAGTGTGTGTAAAACTTTCATTTCTGGGCGACAACTCAAAAAGCTTTTAATATTTTGCAGTTAAGTTGAATTTTGTATTTTAATTCCCGAAGGTCCTCTTTGTCCTTCTTAAAATCCCCCCTCCTTCGACACCCCATATCCGTGCATGCTCTTCTTTTTTCCTTAACCACTAGACACATGTTCTCTGAATTAGATTGTTATTTGTGAATTTTCCATAACAAACATAGGATTCAATCCTTTTTGGTCAATACAAGGACTTTGAAATTCCATAAAATTTCTTGTTTAAGAATGAATATATTTTTACAAAAGTATACGTCTTTTAATCATATAGTAATGTTAATCTTATGCCTTAAAGATGGTTTCATTATTTTGATGAACCTATATGAAGTTCAAATTTTGTATCTCTTTTGATCTGATTCAAAGAACGAACAGTATAATTTAGACAGATAAATAAAATTAAGTTGACTTAACAATGGTATCAGAATCTGATATCAACATCTCATAACTTCTGTTGTCGATTCATTGGTCACCTTTACATTTAAAGCCTGCTTTTTATTCGAATATTTGATTTAATAAAGAATTTTGGCATTATATAAGTCGAGGGATGCTTGAAATTGAGGAAAAGATTACAAATCATTAAGGACTAATGTTAATGTAATATATGGAGGAATACCCGCACACTTCACTGTGATCTTAAAAGCAATGGAGGAAAAGCTCGGTGTTAATTTTGTTATTGAAGGACATCTTATTTTTTTTCCTGATTCAAAGTATAGATTGATAAATTTTGTTAAGATTTTTAATGAATATATGTTATCTCCACCAATCCTCTGTCAGGATAATAATCTTCAAAAACTTCAACAGTCAACATCTGCTCCTTAACGCCAAGAAGGACTGAACTATGTGCATGAAAAATAACTGTAACTAACATATTTAAAACATTTTCGATATGGATATATAATGACATGTCCTATGCTAAAAAATTATGTGCATCTTTAATTTTCATACTGAAAAATCAATTATTTTCGTAGAGGTATTCTTCATTGTTTACATAGTATGAAGAGACCCATGAAAGCGTGCTTCCCAAGAAATATCGAACCCAAAGAACGTAGTTTGGTGTTTCTTTTTATCAACGAAGTCAATATCCTCACCACCAATTATTCTTTTATTACGAAACTTTGACACAATAAAATAAGTGATTTTTCAGTTATGTTATTGAATAGCATGAGGGAAATCTGTTGGATAAAATTCCTCTTTTAGCGTAAAATAGTATGCATTTTAACGTCATATGCATTTACAAGTGAAGGATGTTCCGAATATACACTAGCTATACTAGCACAGCTATTTGTTAACCCTAAGAATGTTTTATGTCAATTTGATATAATTCAGATATCTTTTTATATAAAAAAAAATAGTGTTGAAGCAAACCCTTTACTTGTAACTTAAAATATATATATAGCGGTACACATTGATTTATTTTTAAACATGTCATTTCTTTTCTATATAAATATAAAGTCCAAAAGTGTTTTCTATTATTCATTCAAAATAAACATAAATCGATTATGAATAAATTTGTTCTCATATTGAACTTGATATTAAATTTACTGATTCGTTTTTGTTATATTTTCAGCCACAGAGAAAAATAAGGACATTGTAGGTTTGGGTGAACTTCAAATATTCATATTCATCATATCTTTCGAATGTCGGATCATGGCGCCATGTGATTGCATTTTTAAAAGTGAAATGGAGTGATACCCACTTTGTTATATAATAATTGCTAAGAGAATATGCTGTCATTAAGGAATTGTTTCCGCCAATCATTTTTGCACTAACGATCAACCTATATGAGTGTTTTGTAACATTTTTGAGATTATTATGTCACATGACTAGTCAACAAGATCTATATATATGCTTCATATTACATCTATCCAATTGGTGCATAACTTTGTTTTAATTTCTAGGTCACCCGAGTCACACAGTTTACCTATTGCTATCTGTGTTCGTCTGCCTTCTATCGTTGTGCGTCATGTATTAACATTTGAAAAATTTTCTGCAACCACTGTACCTATTCTATCAATTTCTATGAGTGACGAGAACGAAAAAAATTAAATTTCAGGACCCCTGCTCCCCTGGAATCAGATGGTGGAGCCAAAACCAGTATAACTTAAGCATTTAAAAATTCTACTATACTCTTGGACATCCAGCAATCAAACTGTTGGCACGATTGTAATAAGCATAAAGTTATCTACACAAATTGTGAAATTTTGTGATTTTATATTTTGTGAAATATAGTTAAAAGGCTTTATTTCTTTAAAAATATTCTCTGCTTCTGGTATGAAATAAGCTAACTAAGTACATTCATGTAGTTTTTATGAACAAAGAATGTGTGTTTATAATTGTGAATTTTATGGCCCCAAGGATTGGGCTCTTGTGTTAGGACGGAGTTCCATTGATTATATAGTGAAAATGCATATGATCTTTGAAAATCTTCCCTGCTCCTGGGTTTTAAATAAAACGTCTTTTGTACATGAGCATGGATTGTCTCTTTTAAAATTGTGAATTTCATAGCACCTTGGTCAGGAGTTCTGGTATTCTGGTATTCTGGCTGGGTTCTATTGATTTTATAATGCAAATGCATTATGTTTTTGAACATTTGTTTTCTCTGATCCAGGTTAAAATTTAATTAAAGGAAGTATATGATTATGTTAAGCAAGAATGCACTTGAAATTTATGGCCCCAGGGTCACTTGTGCTTTATTGATCATTTTGAATTCTCGACATGTAAATAATACAAAAATAATAGAAAAATAAAAATGAGACAAAATTAACTTATCTCTTTAAATGTTATTTTAAGGCCAAGATAGGCCAATAAGAAAGATTGTGATAGCGTGTTAATTAAAAAAATTAATTGATATATGGCTAATTGTTCATATTTTCTTGATAATACATATACTGTAGTGGAAAATATGGGCGAGATAGACAAATGCTAAAACAACGTTTGTTCATCCTAATCGTGAAATTAGTATTGCTTTTAAGCGACAAATCTTCATTTATAAGTTTATGGATCCTCCAATTGTTGTTCTCAGTTGACCGTTAAGGCCCTTTGGCCTTTTATGATAAAAATTCAGTAAATTTATCATGTAGATTTTTTGGAGCTATTTGTTATGCCCTGTCATGAATAAGGCCGGAGCTTATAGTGTTTCTCGTCTTCCGTCTTCCGTCCTTCCGTCAGTTCTATCGTCGTGCTTTCCATCTAGCTCTATTCAAATCTCATTTTTTTAAACAAAAACTAACCAGGATATATTTATCAAACTTCATATGCTGATAGGCATTGATGAGAGCTATTCAACTGCATCAAGATATTTTGACATTTGCCTAGACCTGACTTTACTTTCCTTAAAAAAGTGTTTAGCCCAGATTAAAAAAAAACATTCAAGAAAGTGTTATCAAACTTTATATGTTGATACAACGATAAAAGTAAGCTTTTTAACTGCATGAACATTTATTGACCTTGACCTCTTCCTTGACCTTAATTTCATTCATTCTAACTTAATGTTTAGCTCAATTTAAAATAAACCATACAAAATATTTTATCAGACTTAATATGCTGATACGTATTTGTAGGAACTCTTCAACTGCACCTTGACCTTTCCTGTTCCCTCGACCTTTTCTGTGACCTTGATCTCACTTTCCCTAAATGTGCATTTTGTTTTTTCTTAAAGAAACTAGTAAAGAGACATTTATGTTAAATTATGTACTTATACATTATTTGGTGACAATTTTTCGTCTAATTAACCAACATTTTACATATCAATTTTCAAGTAACTAATAAGGATACACTTATACAAATTTTAATGATTCATTACTAATATAGCCTCGGTGTGGGAGTCATGTCCTATGGACATATTTTTAGTTTGTGTTTATAAACTTATTTTCCATATATGTAAGTTTTCCTTAATTTCTTTCCTGTATTGAAAGAGTAATTAAGAAAATGTACGTACATTTATTATACCCCCGCTTGAAAAGCGGGAGATTATATAGTAATCAGTATGTCTCTGTGTCCGTCTAGCTGTACGTCCGTCCGTCAATCCGTCCGTCGGTCCGTCTGTCTGTTCTGCTTTGGGGTAAGCATCTCTTATCCGCAACTCCTCTCATACCACTAAATGAAATTTGATGAAACTTTCACAGAATCATTATTACATGTTGTCCAAGTGACCTCCTACATGTATTTTACTTTTTGATCTTCCACATATTTTGGGTTTCCCACAACAAAACATGGACACTCCCATTATATTCATATAGGAGGCAGGGGTGTCATTTAGTGAGCTTACTGCTCACAGTACCTCTTGTTTGATTGGTTTCTTTTATCAAGGCAATTATCAATTTAACGTATTTAATACGAGGTTATGGAAAAGCTCTCTGCAAGCTTAAAATTCATTTAAAATATACATTTTATTTTGAGCTAGATTTTAATTCTAACATGTAATACTTGTTTGAACTTGCAGCCAACTTGTTAAAAGGAATAATGCATTTATTATTATAAAGCATTTTTGAGATGTCACATGTTTTTGTTGATCTTGTGACGGACACATGAAATTCTTAAGTATTGCACAGAAATCGAATTGGCACAAGTGCAAAACAAACTTCTTGTGAAAACTTATTAAAAAAGTAAATTCATCGTTACCTCCAGTATATATAAAGCGCTGGGGGTAAGTCTGAGTACATGAGAACATTTAGTAGTAAGGGATATTTTTCATACCAGCGCTTAGTGAGCCATACGACCTCGGTTTACACATGTAAGTCTAAAGGGCTATGCAGTATACTGTTGAATTCGAACCTACGACCTAAGGATCAATTCCTTACTCCGCGAGTAGAGAGCAGACGCTCTAACCACTGAGCAACGCTGTTGAATAGACGGAAGATGTGTAATTCTCTAAATAATCGAAAGATGCTTTTAAAATAATTTTTTTAAATTTATTTATAAATACCTTTTGTTAAACATTCACTAAAATTATTATATTCTGTTGTTTATTTTCTTGTCTTAGATAAATCCAGGCAAAATTGAACAGATGTTTCATATAAAAAATAAAAATGAATTTAGAGGGTTTGTAAATATTCATATATAATAGCTATAATAACAATCAATATATATATTTCATTAATAAATAGTGCTTTATTAATTTAAAAAAAAATAGAAAAATAAAATAAAAAATATACACGCACTCCGTAAAATAATAACATATGTTTTAGAAGTAGTTTAGTTCAGTTTAAGTTGAGCATGCTCCTGAGTATCGAATCAACTGGATGACATAAAACCCATATGGAGATGGATATATTGCAATTCAATTTCAATACAATTTATTTATTGTCTACCAAAAAATTCACATAAAGACGAAAATTCGACGAATTATATACCATGTTGATATTGGCAAGTGTTTTGAACATATTTTATTGACAATATGTCAAAGGGATCGAACACAAGTTCTAACAACTTAGGTAGTCCTCTCCCAAGTAGTTGGGAAGTAGTATGCTATGAGTTAGAGTTATCTCCCTTTTACTTTGCTATATATTGTCAATACACAGATTGACAGAACACATTCTGTTGTTAAACCGGGTCCGTAAGATGTATTTATAATTTTTTTTTACGATGATTCATTATGTTTAGTGTGTCACTAGGTTTCAAATCAATGAAGCTAAATGCAATCAAACTTGATCTGTAAGTCAACAAGATACACTCACATAATAAAAATCAACTCAATATCTTCAAGCGTTTAGTAGAAATGCTGAAAACCAAGTGGGACAGACTGACGGACAGACACAGAGGAAACCTTTAATCCCGGTTTCACCGATAGGTTACTAATGACCACCCCCTTAATTCAGTAAAAATCAATATTGAAAGTGACATATTCTACTTTATATACATTTAAATGAAACAAAAAAACCCCCACATGATCTATTACAGTTTACGTCCTATGATATATTGATAGACGATGATACGTAGTTATCATTTTTAAATGATTATTTTTCGTAGTTTTTAATTGTAATGTTAACGTTATATTATGTGATATAAAATGTGTTCTCTAATTTGAAATAAACTTATCATTTTTTTTTAAAACCTTCTAGAATGAAAAAGAGAAACATCAACAAATACAATCTCAACAAAGCCTCTCATTTTTTTTTCAATCTCGTTGGCTGTTGTCACCCACCTTGTTATTCCTGATTGGGATGAATTTAAATAAAGTGCATGTTGGTTAACACCAACAACATTTAACATTCTGTAAAGCAAGCAAATTATGCTATTTATATGAAAGTCATAGAATATAGAGCATAAACATCTTTTGTCAAATAAACGAATTTATGTCATACATATCGCAATATACCGTACATATGTTTACAGTTTTAACACTTTTCATAGCAAATGAATCACAGATTACTTATTAAAAGCCATTAGACAGTATAAATATCCACATTCTATATAGCAAATAACTTCAAAAATTACACAAAAATATCAGTAAACATACTTCATATATTACTATATGTGTATATCAGACTATTAAGCCGCAAACAAAACTCTGTATTGTGCAATTTTCAGCAAGCTGCTAACAAACTCAAATCACTTTACAAAAAATATTAAAAACTTGAAATAAAGTCTTTTGTTTTAAGCGTATCAAAGCCACACAGTTTTCCTATTTTTATGTTTTAGTGCTGTAAATGTACGAGAATCAAGAAGGATCAATCGAGATTCGAAGAAGGACGAGAATACGTTTGATAATAATAATAAATAATGATAAATAATAATGATAAATGAATAATAAATAACAAATTAGAGATTCAA